GGGTAGTGCGGGGGGAGGGGGGGGCCCGGCCTAAAGCCGTGTAAGGGGCCCCGAAATTTCTGAAGGCTGCCCTGTGGCTGAGTGAAATGATGTCAGTGCATTGAGGAAGTACATTCTATGGGCATCTTCAACAAGTACGTTTACAGATCAATATGGTTATTAGGAGTGGAAATTGCGATCTGGCCATGTTTCATGTTATACCCTAAATATGGGTGAAAACATGAAACAGGGTCAGAAAGGTAAACTTAGCCTTTAGAGAACAACTCCAGGCAAAATTTGTATTAACCCTTTTCATTTAGGTGTAAAAATAGCAAAATTATACTCACCTGAACCTCTGAGTTGGCCAGCTGTCACAGCGCTCTCTCCTCCTACACTGCAGCGCTGAAATGTCTCTTGGTGTCCTCACATCCTATACACTCACTTTGTATAGAACGTGAAGACCTTAGACCACTGCAGCAGAAGGGAAGAGACACTGGAAGGACCAGTCTAACAACAAGCGGAGGATCAGGTGAGTATAACTTTTTTATTTTAGTCCCTTGCCCCTAGGCCAAGTTCCTCAATGTGCCCCCCTACCCAAACACCCCCCCCATGGAGAATGGCACACCTGCAGGCTGCATACAAGGGATCTCGGCGACATTGCAGAGATATCACATGTACAAAACAAGCGGCGGCTTCCCCACTGTACATTTAGCTCTGCTTGCCCAAAGCAGTGCTAAATGTAGAAAACAACTACCCGCCCGGAACTGCATGTCCCGGGCATCAGGAGATGGGAATCCCACACCCCTGCTGTCCCTCTACTTCCTGCTGCCTCAAGGCCGGGCCTTGGTTGGCCTTGTGGGAAATCCGGCCCTGCTTAGAGCGCGGGGGTAGCCCCATTGCAAGGGATAATAAACATTTTGCCCTGAGCTCTGCTTTAAATGAATGTTAAGTGGAAAATGAGGGTCTCGTTTTCATATCAAAGAACACTACTATAAATAATAATAATAAAAATAATACAACTAATAATAGTTTGAAATAAAAAAAAACTCATTGCCGTGCCCAGTAATTTAATGTTAAAAGAGAACTATGGCCAAACCTTTTTTGTCCGTAGTTTTCTTTAGGGTTAGTTGCTTATGTACTCCTGTGACCCAAAACTCAGTATATAGCGGGCTAGTGTAGGACAGTGCAGAGCCAAGCTGCAGCCAAGAAGGATCCCAACATATCTGCTGTGTCTCTAACTATGGGGATGAGCGTTTTTCACTCTCCCCATAATTCTCCTTTACAGGAGAATTATGAGGCGAGTGATTTTCACTCAGCCTCATAATCTGAGCCGACCTGTGACAATGAAACTATCACAGGTCGGCTCAGGAGATCGGGAAGTGAGCGAACACATACCGTCGCTCGCTCACTTCTCGATCTATCCCAGCAGAGAGCCGTGACTGTCACTCACACCTCCCTGCAGGGATTCCCCCCCTCCCCGCTCCAATCCTCCAGCGCTGACTGGCGGAAGGGACGGGCACAGCTGGCTCTGCCTCTGGATAGGCAGATCCAGCTGTCAATCCCGCAGCTGGGTGGATCTTGACAGCATTGTTGGGATCCGTTCCAGCTGCGGCGTCTCAGTACACCGCGAGCTGTAGCTCGCAGTATACTGAGCTTTAGGTCACGGGAGAACGCTAGTTTGTGTTACCCTTAGGACTATGGGGAAAAGCCCTGACCCCATAGTTCTCTTTTAAGGCATTATTGGCTAAAGATATTTTATGCATGACCATTGCTAAATATCTCAAAACATAAAGAACTACATCAAATATTTGTATGTATGCTGCCATATGATGGTAAACAGTAAGTCAAATCTAAACAGTTGGTGCGGGCTAATCGAACAGTCTGATCGAATTTATTCAGCTGTCTTCATTGATTTGGAATTAATTTGTTTCTGAATGAACAGGGTGAATGTGCTCGCTTGTTTGCACATTGTGAATAGAGGAAATGAGGTCTATGTGGTCCTATTGATTGGATGCTGTCCATGCCCTGTGTGTAGTGTTTGCTCCAGCAGCAGCTGCTGTCTCCCTGCCTTGCTGTGACATGGAGACCTTGCCCTGACTAGTCACTTGCAGTCTATTCCTCTTCCTCGCTATCTATTTCCACATGCCTCCCCCTGCATACTTTACACTCTGGTCTCTGGATTAACTTTGATGCCACCAGAAATCTCACAGCTCATCCT